TTTGCTGCTCTTTTCCTCCCAAAGCCCCTGCAGCAGCGGTTGGGCGACTGGCGCTGTCGTGACAACCCTGCCTCTCTCCGTCCCCTCTCCCAGGTACCCGCCCGGGATGGTCAGTGTCGCACCAGGAGGAATACCGGCAGCTATGGAGGGCATCCTTCCCGGAGGCATCCCCGTTACTCACAACCTTCCCACAGTGGCGCATCCTTCCCAAGCTCCGTCTCCTAACCAGCCCACAAAACATGGGGACAACAGGGAACATCCCAACGAGCAATAGCAGATAATTTAAAAAAATAAAAAAAAAAAATCATTCAATAAACTTGGGACCAAGAGACATTGGAAAAGAAGTTATGAACTAAAAAAAAAAAAAAAAAATTTGATAGGAAATTTTTAATGTTGATTTTGGACAGACGCATCATTGATGTTCCAGTGTTAACGACAAAGCGATAGCAGTCAAGACGGGGGAGAAGCCCTGAAGAAGTCACCTGCTTACTGAAGCGCTGAAAACTAGGATGTGATACATTAATGATCAACTTCTGTTATTGTGTGTTAAGTTTCCTTCATCTGTGCATCAATCACATCAGACGCATCATTGATGTTCCAGTGTTAACGACAAAGCGATAGCAGTCAAGACTGGGGAGAAGCCCTGAAGAAGTCACCTGCTTACTGAAGCGCTGAAAACTAGGATGTGATACATTAATGATCAACTTCTGTTATTGTGTGTTAAGTTTCCTTCATCTGTGCATCAATCACATGAATAAAAATAGATTTCTTCCCCCCCCCCAAGTTCCTTGGGAAGAACAGGGCCTCTGCCCGTTTCCAAACCATTGCATTAAGCGATCCTTACAGAGTTAACATAGAAATATAAGAGGAAACCATTATGTGGCTTCAGCCCTTTCCTTACTCTTGCATCTGGTTACCTCTTCTAATGGGAGGCATCAGTACCGGCTTAGAAGTGGAAGAAAAAAAAAATTAATAATAATAATAATGATGATGACGATGATGATAATCCTTTTTGCAGTGTCACAGGGCCAGTGCCGTGTAATGGAAGTTCTCCTGCCAGGTTTAAGATCTGGCCGTTCCAGCCGGGATGCGTGGGATGGGGAGGGCAGGAAGGGCTCCTGGCAACGGCCGCTGCCCTCCCCGGCTGAGGAAAAAAAACAAAGCTGCCAGTCTCCTCTCTGCCCAACACACTGAGTAAAGTAGCTGTGCATTCACCTACGCCCTGCAATGATGCAAGAAAAAAAAAAAAAAAAAAAAAAAAAAAAGAAAAAAAAGAAAAAAAAAAAGAAAGTATTACGTTTCACACACTATTTGTACTCAAATATATTTTCTCAGTTTTAAATCTGCAGCTATTTTATCAAGTGGAAAAAAAAGTCTTGAGCTGGAAAGGGTTCAAGAATAATGTTGCATTTCCTTATGTCTCAGGAAACACTTTTTATGGTAACTTGTCAGACTGTCGATGAACAAAACCCACTTTTTTAGACATTGATAAAAGTCTTCTTTTCTTCACGTGCTATTTTATACAAGAACACTTCAAAAATGTGTTATTAGATGTGACTGATTTTAACAAATCCTATTAGATTTGTATCAACTAGTTACATGTTATATTCATAGTCTTTTGTGAATCATCGCCTTTTTGTTTTTAAAGAGATGGCCTATTTTGAGCCTTTGTATGGGTACATTCCTGTTTCTGTGACAAAAAAAAAATCTTAAGCTGTCCCAAACAGAAAAAAAAAAAAAACAAAAAACAAAAAACAAAAAAACAACCCAATGGCTATCAGAAGTATGTTTTGGTTTAGTGTGTTACCGTTACTGTATTTGTTTATTGTAAAGGTGGACATTTAGCGTTCAGTGCAGTTTTCAATAAAAAGTGATAAAATTTCTATAATTTCTGGAAGGTAAGAAAGAGCGCTCGCTGCAACCTGACTAACGCCGTCAGTCGAGGATGCTGAGAACGCAGGGCAAGGTAGAGAAACGCCACTCTGAGCACACCCAGCCCTCCTCCCAAACCCAGCGGAGAGAGGCGCGAGGTCTCCTCGGGCCCGACGCCGGCACCGCTGGCCCTGGAGCAGCAGCGGGGACGCGGCGGTGGCAGCGGCGGCAGAGGAGGACGCCCGGAGCGCGCCGCCGCTTGCGTCAGCCGAGGAGCCGTCCTTGGCGGCGCGTCAAGCTTGCTGCAGGTCAGTTCTAAAAAAATCGCACTACTGGGGGGGGGGGAACGCTTTGCTGAGTTGCGTTTCCTGCCCAGGCTTTCAGGTGGTGCCATGCATAAGCCGTCAACTTACTCAAAATTTGTGAATATTTAAAAAAAAAAAAATATAAAAATCAAGAGGGACATTACACGCAGCCTAGGTGGAAGAAGATCGCTGTGGTGTCCGCAAGGCTACGAAGGCAGCTACACCTCAAACAGCATTTTTTTTTTTTGTACCTTCTCAAGAAATGAAGCATTAACAGAGCAGCACGGAGCAAAGCTGAAGATGCGCTTGAGAGGTGCTGGCAGCTCCCCGGCTGGCTCGCCAAAAGGCCCGTGCTCGCCGCTCCACCCCGTCGTCTTGGCCTTAGGGCCAAGAGCTTGGGCTGGGAAGGGGCTTAAAAAAAAAAAAAAAAAAAAAAGCCCAAACCAAAAAGCATCTAGGTTACAAACCTGAATTTTGTTGGCTTTAAATCAAACCGAAAAAGCAGTTACCAGCTCCAACCACATTAAAAAGAGGTCACCTCCCATCGATGAGTGGCCGCTCTGTCGGTGACCACACAGCGGACCAGGGATTATCCACGACCACCATGACACACGGAACGGGTCAGCTACAGAGGTGGTGGTGGGGAAACACTGGAAGGGCGGTAAAAACCAAGAGGAAAACGTTTAATTGGTGTTAAGGCTCAGAGCCGTTTTACAAACCAACCAGCTCTGGTACTGCCGTTTGGTTTTAATTCAGCCATGGCAGCCCAGAGGGGTGCCAGCACCGCCCTGCCTCGGAGGCTCTCGTGCGCCGCAGGTTCCTCACGCGTTGCTGCCAGCCGTGGGCTCCGCACCGGGACAGCGAGGGGCTTGGCCCAGACCCCCCAGGGCGCGGCGAACGCTGCGTTTTTCATCCAACACCCAACCTCGCGCTCAAGCAAAGCCAAGGAGGGATGCAAACCCAGGCAGAGGGCGCCTACGGAAGCGCTACGCGCTCAGCCAGGGCAGGAATCGAGATCCCAAGGGTTACAAACTGAAGGACTCCGTTTGGTATCGGACCGCAGTTTTAGGAGTTCCACTCCGCTGTTGGGTTTCGAGCGCCAGCAAAACATGGACAGAGGAGCTCCACGGAAGGGGAGAGGGAAGGGGATCATCACAGCCAACATCTGCCGAAACACCAGGAAGCAGCACGCTGCAGCTCTCAAAATGGAGAATTATTGGGCAAAGAAACAGGGAAAAAACAGTTGCTGCCGAAGATCCGTGCTGTTATGTTTCTGACAGAGCCGTCCTGCGGGTGCCACGCTCCCGGCAGGCAGGGGGGCTCCCCCCCCCCACCCCCATGATGGATGCCAGAGTAGTTCAAACAAAAAAAGCAGCTTGAAGGTGACAGACACCAAAAAAAAAACCAAACAAACAAAAAAAAAACAAAAACCACCCAACTACTAAAAAAAAAAAGGGGGTTAAGGGAAGTTACTGAACAAAAGGCAGAAAAAAAGGAAAAGTGGCAATTAAAGAAGTGTCTCTAAATGCACACAGACCGATTTCGTTAGTGGAGCAGGCACAATCTAGTAATATTTGCCATAAGCCATGCAGCAGAACTTTGGAGGAATCCAGAATTACTAAATTTTAATATATTAAAACCAAAAGAAATACAGGGGTTTTCACTGAGGAATTCATAAATAAAACCAGAAAAAAAAACGACGAGATGTAAAGGAGGTAGCGATGAAAAGCCGAGTTCTGTGCTAGGAAAGCGTGTGCTGCTGCGAGCGTAACACCAGGAAGGTACACGGAGAATCCCGGGTTCCCCGACACGCTTGGCTAAAGGAGCGGAACTCGCCAGCAAGCTGCAAGGTAGCATTTGCAAATGAACCTCGGGATTTGTAAACTTTCAGGTGTGTAGTTCCAGGAGAGGACCCATTAACATACACTGACTACTGTGCTAGCACAAAGCAGGGGGTTGCATCTCTTTAATCTACAGGTACATGAGGTTCGGATTACTTTGATTTTGAAAGAGATACTTCACCAGTTCCGAAGTGACCCGTGAAGCGTGTTAACCGGAACATACCGTTTTACAGCACATCAGAACAAAACAATAATGATCAAGAAAGCCAAGAGCTCTTGAAGTACCAGGACTGTCCTCTCATACCAGAACTAGATAAATATCGGAGAGCACGGTGCATGCTTTTGAGAAACGGCTGAACTGACTGCACAGTGAACTTGCACTTGCTAGGGTGAAGTGCTGGCTGGGGACGGGGATCGCCGGGCCACAGCGCAGGCTGCCCGGGTACAGCAACGGGAGGTAAGGAAAGGCGCGCTCGTCGCATTTGGCTCAAGGTAGACTTTCACATTGGTTGTTCTCCCCATGTTACAAGGAAGCTTCACTTCCTTAAACAGAACAGTACTGCAGAAAGCAAAGGGGGGGGGATGACATGGTAAAATTCTGCACGGCGTTCTGCACACCCCTCCAAGTGGCCTAACTGAGGGTAGGAGCTCAGCTTTTTGTCCGCTCAAGCGGTGCCTGCACAGGGAAGCTAGTCCCGGGTAAGCCAGGATCTGAATTTACAGGGATGTGGTTACTGAACAAGAACTTCTAAAGCTGGCATACTTAGTCCTGCACTAGAAGGACCTCCAGAAGCCTGCTGGGTTACACCACCACAGAGGAACGATGCCACCGAGCACAGGGCACAGGCCAGCGCTGATCATGGAAATCCTCATCCCAGCTTACACCACATTCGGTTCCCCTGACAGAAAAAGCTGTTAAGCCCTCAGCTAGACAAGGTATAAAAGGATTTCACTGCAAGGTAAGAGAAAGGACAAAAAAAAAAAAAAAACCAAACACAAAAAAAAAAAAAACAAACCCTCAAAAAAACCAAAAACCAATTTAGAAAGCAAACTTGAAACAGGACCAGATGCTTGTGAAGAACCTCTTTAGTATCTGCGGTTTGCCTGTTGAGTTCAGGTAAATCATACGTACATTGCAGGTCAGCATGCATTCCTTTACCTGAAAATTTGCACATGCACCGATCAGAGGAGATCTAGGATGGCCAAAAAAAGGTGAAGGCATTTCATAATAAACCTCAATGGAATCTGTGATGGGAAAATTGCTAAGTCAATACAGTACTTCATTATTTCTATACTTTTGGTGTCGTCACCAGGTTTACGTAGGAGTTGTGCACGTTTCAACACCATCTAAGCA